AATAATAATAATAATTGCAATTTACATATAAGATTGATGTCAAATTACACAACAGAAAGCTAAGAACAAAAAGAAACAACTAAAAAAATAAAAGACTACAGAACCTAACCAACCAAAAGAAAAAGAAAAATAATGGCTTCTAAGATCACCTTCTTAGTCCTCTTTTTTTTTTTAAAAAAATGGATATCACGGCTTAGAATGTGATCTTAGAAGTATTATTGTTCACTAGTTTTAGAAGTATTATTGGGAAAAAAAAGGACTAAGATAGTGATCACTATGATCCAATTCATCGTGTTCTGACCGCAGAGTGTGCGACAAAATGTGAGTTTGTATTATTGGTTACTGGTTTTCCTTCCGGCACAGTTCTTTTCCCTAACATGAAAGAGATAGAAGAAAGGGTAACACGGTCTTTTCATATTAATTTTAATAGACTAGTGGCTACTATTGCTAAGCATTAAAAATGCTGGATAAAAAGTAAATACCACTTTAAAAAGTGGCTACCCCACACAATTTTTACAAAGAAAGTAGGGGTATTATCACTTTTAGCACGCGCCAGAAACTATTTACATTTAGTAGTTGAAAAATTGTATAAATTTTGTATAATTTTTGTATATAATATACAGAATGTATATATGTAAAAAAATTATACATTTTTTCGACTATTATTTTGAAAGTGGCTATACAGTATCATTTTTCCAAAAAAGAAAGTACATATGTGAACACAGACGTGAAGAAAGAGGACTTTTTGTCTTGGGTTCTATTCTTTTTCACTTCTCAATCGCAACTCTTACTTCTCTATCAGGTGAAAATGCAGACATATGGGTGCAACTCATCTCTGTTGTCTCCAAACCTTTCATGGTCGACAAGGTCGAGAGTGGTGAGAGGTCCATAGAGGATGGAGACGTATTAGGTTATTTTGGAAATGTTTCATGTGTTGTGGTCTTGTGGATCATGACTAGTGAATACAATATCATCGAAAGACTTGCATCCAAGAATGTGAGCTATTGGTTAATAAAGTAAATTACGAACCACAATATCTTAGGTTCAAATTTCAAAGAGGCAAAAACACTAGGTGATGTGCTCCCATCTGTCCAAATATTAATAGATAAAGTTAGCTGATACTTATTAATCAAAGTGTGCAAAAACTAACTCGAACACCACGGGTATTTAAAATAACATCACCGAAAGACTTGCACCTTTGATGAAAAAATTAGGACAGACGCCTTATGAAAAGGTGTAGATTTTCCAAACAACAATGAGTTGGATGCAGTCCAAATCATTAGTAAAGTACGTTAAGATCTTCAATTCCAAAAGAATCTCACAATTTAAGATCCATATTACTGAAACAGAACATGTTTCTTCATCAGAAAGAGATCCAAATTATTGAAACAGAACATAAACCTTCATCAGAAAGGAAAATAGGATGATTCTCCACTATATATCAAAGTCAAAAAAATATTCAGCCTTAATCTCAGGACTGCCTTTACATGCCTAACGGTACATATTTATTTCTTCATAGCTTTGTTTCTTTTACCATCTTCCTATGAAATATCTGAGTTCATATGATATAACAGAGTTACTCACATGGGACTAACCTCAATGACTGGAAACGTCAAAGCTTTGAGAAAGAAAACTAACAGACCTTTCTATAATTGGGGGCCTAATTATATGCTGGACTACGTTAGTGTAAGTGTAATGTTTTATTTAAGAAACCAAAATTGTTGCGTCACTCTGTCTATTCATGGGACCTTGCTTCTTCTACGCGGCTGCCAAGCTTAACAATGTCTTCAACAAAAATCTTCCCATCTGCAACAAAAAGACTCAACAGAAGTTAGAAGCAGCATAAATAGGGAGACGTTCAGTTTTCGGGTCAATTTGAAAGATACTATTAACTCCCCTTAAACTTGCAAGGCATTAAGATAATTAATTGCTATCCTACTGTTGTACAAATACATAAATTTCCATTATAGGTCCTAATAAGAGTTGCTGCTTATAAAAACGTGTTTATTTCATTCACAAAATACAGCAACTTCAGTATCAACCCAAAGAAGAAAATTGTCTATGAATTAAACATCCAGTTCGAGAAATTAAAAAGAATGGAAAAATGTTAAAAGAAAAAGAAACAATAGACACCGTAAGAGGTGACTGTTCTCTAACTTCTTTGAAACAACAACAACATATCCACTGTAATCCCACAAGTGGGGTCTTGGGAAGGTAGCGTGTACGCAGACCTTACCCCTACCCTGTGAAGGTAGAGAGACTGTTTTTGATAGACACTCGGCTCAAGGACTCAACTTCTTTAGAAAATGAATTAAATTAAAAGCAACTGAGAAAAAAACGAGGGTCATTATCAGGAATCTGGAACCACAAAAATGTAGTTATTCTATATAAGGAATCTTTGGTGTCCATACGATATTATTACTAACTTTTCCGATGTCTATATTTACTACCAATGAACAAATATGTCATCGATTTGAATACACACAGGATAATTATTTAGTTAACCTGGCTTTTTTATGACAGTTGAGGTTCGGAACTCTTAATTCAAAGACTATGCTTAGTTAGTACGTGACTTCTTTACTGGTTTAACTCTTCTAATAAAACTCACATTAAATGTCTTTGCTAAAAGCTACACAGAAAGACCATCAAGTGTGATCTCTGTTAATTGCTATCAAACAAACAGTGACTCAACAAAAAGGCTTTTAAACTGCAAAACGCTTTTTTATATACGCCAAATTCCAAGCAATGTCGATGTGTTTATGATGACCTTCCACAAGAGTTCCAATAACAACCATAAATCAACAGTCAAAGCATGGATCTTTCTGATTTCGAACAAAATAAAACTGACCTGTATCTTTGGAAAGGTTGCTGATAAGTTCTTGAACCCCTTCTTTGCCAAGAGTATCCTTTAAGTAGTTGGCTGCAGCTGCTAGCTCCTCGGGAGTCACTTTCCCATCATAATCCCTGTATAACAAAACAATATGCAGGTCAATTAAAAGCTAAATTTTGGATCTACACAATTGCAGATGAAAATGTAACTTCCCCAGCAAATTAGATCACCATAGTGAACCAGAAACCTGATCACATAAATGAGAGATATAAACATGATTAATCATTACTTCCACTCATGATATGGTAATGTTCTGCTGCATGGCTCATGATTAATATTCCACCAATTCATCTTTAAAGGATAATAACATAGATGTCATTCAAATTTGCAACATGAGAATCACTCTGGGTGAACAAATTTCTGCTTGCATCACTGCATGCTTGTGACCGGGTAGATTAAACAATAAGAAAAGGGAACAACATTTCCCCAACTCCGACCTCTATTTAAAATGGTTTTTACACTATTATATTCAAGATACTTATAAGTGCAACCAAAACGCTGTGAGATGTATGAAAAAGAAAATGTCAAAGCCCAAAAGTGATCATCAAGCAAAAAATTTTGATAAGGATCACCAAGCAAACCACTGCTATTCACCTGTCAAGTATTCGCCAATGGTCGCCAATTTTGGCATCAACATCATCAATTTCCTTCTCAAGATTTTGAAGCATGGAATCAACCTGAAACACATTAGCCAATAAATAAATAATTTTAAGTCAGCTGTAAGAAAACATTCTTGTCCTCTGTTAGTTTCCCTTGATTATCTGCTCCCTCCCTCTGTATCATTGAAACCGAGTGCATATTTCTCAATTTCTAGGCTACCTTATCTGATGCTTTATTCAATTTATTTTGGGCTATAGAGGACAAAATATATGCCTTCACCGACTTAATTTAGGAAGAATGTCTCACCTTATCTATGAGTGCAGATGAAACCTCATCATGTTCAGCAGCATGATCATTCTCATCATGAGCAGCTCTATATGCCTTGATAGCATCCAATTCACCACCTGTACCCTCTTTATCTACCATGCTATTATAAAGTTGGATCTGACAAGAAAAGGAATCCTCCATGAGTCACAGATTCTTGTTGACGAATTACCTGACCTTATAGGGAACCAAAGATATACTCGCTATATGCATTGCACATAAAGAAAAATACCAGAAAAACATCAACAGCAAAGCGATCTAGGGAGCCCATGGGTGGAATTTCTTTCTTTTATTTTATTTGAATTTATTTTTCGGTTGGAGGAGAGGGGTAGAGGGGGAGACAGAAGAATAGCTGGAGAAGAGGGGCACCCAATTAATTATCTGTTAAGAATTGAATGTTCTGCTGCTTAAGCAAGTCAAGGAAGACGGTTGAAGTAGTTTGCTTCTTTTTGGCTTCTATCTGAGTGATGTACTAGTTTGTACCATCTTGACACTTTATCAATCAAATCTTACCTTATCAACAAAAAGAAAAAGCTAAGTGGAAAATTAGCCCATGCTACAATCATCAATATTACTACCCTCTCTGTCCCAATTTATGTGGCACTTCCCGAGATTCAAACTATGTGAGCTTTGACCATCATAATATATTTTTTCATCAAATTGACATGAGAAAAATTGCAACTTATAGTACTTTTCGCATAGTTTTTGAATATTCAAATTTTTATTTTAAAATATTGAGTTAATCTAATCCAGTTTAGCTTCAAAGTTTAGTCAAATTGACTCTCGATAAGCGAAAAGTGTCACATAAATTGGGAAGGAGGGAGTACTTATCTCTTTTACCAAAAGGAAAAGGAAAAAGAAAGCAGGTTAAGGAGCAATTTGTTTCTTTGCCCAGAATTTGTAATTTCAGTATAAGCAATAACCAATACTCCCTCCATTGGAAAATGAACATTCACCTTTACCTTTGTTTCCCATTTTAAAACAACAAATAGTTCAACTAAAAGCAAAAGAGAAATTTAGCAGGACAAAATCAAGATCCACATGACGTCCATCAATAAAATTAGACAATATTCATTAACAGATAAAGGGAGGTCCAACATGATTAAACAAGGAGAAGAAAATAAGAAGCAGCAGCAAGTACATAATAAAATGCAAACATAACAAAGAATCATTAAGAGCTATAGAAAATAGAGTTATAAGAGATTGATAGAAAAGCCTCGGGAACTTTTCTTGGTCTGATTTCTCGTACAGTTTAGCTTCAGAATGACATACCTCTTTACTTACAAGCCTCAGGAACTCTTCACGCTCTTGGCTAACAGACTGCATAAAATAGAGTTATAAGAGATTGAGAGAAAAGACCAGGTATTAAACAGTCCAAAACTTTTTCGAGTCCATCCTTACAGAAGCAGAAGCTAGAACAGCCAAGGCACGGCTAATTTTACATAGCTGCTCTTGTTTGTCAATTGCTCTTGCTCGAGCTTGCTCTTGTGCTTCTGTAGCAGTTGGAATAGTCATCTCTTTCAATGCCACATCCTCTTCACTACAGACAGATTCCTTCCTTCTGGTTTTCTCTTCTTCTTTCTCTTGCTCCTCCTGCAGAAAAGTACAATTACCTCTAAGCAGAAGACTACTGATGTTTACACAACTTGATATAGAATACACATGCCTTAAGAGGTAGATTCATTTCCTGATGGATACTATAGTCAAAAAATAGAAGGGATCTTTACACAAATAGGAGGCTGGATTCTTCAAAATATAGAATCCCACTTAAGAGAACCAAAAAAGAACCACAAAATCCAGTTTTTGTGTGTGTGTGTGTGGGGNCTCCTTTCCGATAGCGAATCTTCAGATGGCAGGGAAGTGATGCCCACAGTATCCACAACCTCATCTGGTAGCGAAGACAGTGTAGCTCCAACAGCCTCCTCTGGCTTCAACCTTCCAGAAACAGTGAAAGCTCTGCTCACAGAATGGGGGGAAAAGCAGGTCATGTGTGCTCAAAGGTGAACAAAATAAGTAGTTGCAAGTTCAATAACTTCAAGAAAATGTGTAATCGGGGCATGCATATACTAGTTTGCAGGTGCTAAATTTCAGAGAGACAGAGAGACTAAGATACCTGGAAAGGATCAGAAGTGATGAAGGCACTGAATGATTAAGTGACAAATCCAACCAATCTCGGAGCTGCACATAAGAACAACAATATTAGAACAAAGTATTGCACGTATTCAATGATTAACTTTGAAGTTCATTTCCCCTAAAGTATGTATATATTCTTCTCTTCAAGTTTTCCTGCAACTGGAATGAACTAAAGAAATTTCTTCTTTTTGTCAAATTCAATTTCTGAGAGGGGTTAAAAATGAATGTGTGGAAGTTATAACATAAACTTCTCCTCCCCTTTGCTCTCATACTTTCTTATAAAACAATGGAAATGGACCTTAGCGTCACCCTTTTACTTCTCCACCTGCCCATCAGCTTTGTGTCAATGAAGAAATCAGTACAGCTAATTGAGTGCTTCTACAAACTTATTTCTTCAAATCCATTTGAGATCAGAAGGATCATAGCCACTTAATTCCATGTCGTATAAAGTCCTTCACATTCAAAGTCTAGATCAAACAGACAATTCCCCCATCACTTTAAACCAGCTAACTTTATAACGGAAAAGTGATAGCCCCTTCATCCCTGTTTATTTGGCACTCTTCCCTTTTTGTCTGTGATTGAAACATTTTCATATTCAGAAATTATATTTGAGCCTTACATTCCCAATTTGTCCTGATTGAAAAAATCTATGAGAATTGGCATGACTTGATGCAGATCCTGCTGCATAGAAATATAGTGTGGTACTAAGAGTACTTTTGATATTTTATGTATATTTGGTCCATGTGTCAAACGCCTTCTTTCTTTCTTTCTTAAACTTGTGTCTACTCAAATAATCCTAAAAATATTGAGATGAGTATTTTTCATTGATAACGAACATTTTCAACAAGAAAATCACTAAAATAATGAAGTCAACATAGAATATCTTAGCAAAGATAGTCCAAAGCAGATATCGCAAGAGCAATCCAATCCTCCATCTATACCTTAGCTGAAAAAGTTGCTGCAATTCGGTAAAAACTATTGACAGGATATCCACATAATATCAAATTGAACAAATACATTTTTATTGATTTTTTTTTTGCAAAAAAAATTGACAAAGAACCTGTTGGCGCATTTCTTCAACGGAAAGTAAACCAAGCATGCCTCGCTCTCTACAATCTTCACGAAGTTCAGCTTCCGAAAGAGACTCCACTCCTTCTGCTTGAATCAATTTGTCATCATTTTTAATCCTATGAAAATGATAGGATCTTAAGTGTCACATATATCTTACTAGATGCAACTGTACGAGAACTAAACTAGTCACTTCGAAAGTAGATAGCATGTCTATGTATGACATGTCAATGAACATGTATACGTGTTCCCTGAGAAATTGCTTGGCTGCTAAATCTCCAAGAACATGTGTTACTTCACCTTTTTTCCAGGCAACTACTGTTTGCTAGAGAAAATTAATACTGATTGTTGATGTGTGTGACCATCTCATATAAAAGCTTAAGTTGTTGGAGAGAACACACATTTATTTACTTAATTATGTTTGCAATACTCCCCCTCACGTGCGGACTTAATTCTTTTTGATAAGCCAAGCACGTGAAAATTCTTTTTGATATTGGATGGCGGTGAGACTCGAACCCAGGACCTCTCCTTGCTCTGTTACCATGTTGAAGTGTGTGACCATCTCATCTAAAAACTTAAGCTGGTAGAGAGAACACACATTTATTTACTTAATTATGTCTTCAACACTGACACAGACAGGTGAAATTGCAATGTTTGTGCTACTGACTAATGCAGGTTCTTGTTAGAAGAGTAAAGACAGTTTTTTTCATCAACAATGAACCAAAAAGACGTTTTGGGGTCTCTTAGGGGTCACAAAGGCAGTGAAATTTTTTGTTTCCCTCAGCAAATAACTAGTCGATCACATTATTTTTTTTTTCAATAAAATGAATATATTCGCAATTATTTTCTTGCAAAGTCTCCGCGGATTTAAGCTTGTCTGAGCTACATAGCTTGTCAATAGCAAAGGAAAAGCAAAATTAAACAAACTGTAACCTCTTCCCAGCTAGTGTTCAAAAGTCAAAAGGAACTGAACATACATCCACGTGAAAGATTATTTTCTTATTTCTGTTGACAAATTAAACAGACTGATATACCAAGTTCCTCTTGCTGATGCAATTTTTCTAGACAATGCCTCAAACACCTTACTCAGGGTTCGAACACCATCAGCAAAAGAATTTCATGTCATACTAGAGATTCAGAAAGTGACTCACTACTGAGCAATGTTAGTGAAACTTGTACCTCCACAAACGTCAAGAACAAGTCAAACTATGACCTACTTCCACAAACTGTGATGGACTAAATAGAAACTTACATTCAAGAACATCTATAATGGTCTCTAACATACATTTTCTTAAAACAATATCGTACATGGAAAGAAGGGGCATACCTTTGCAATCTCTTCCGAAGCATAAAACGCAAATAAGCATCTGTTCCATAAGGACTGATCCCCATATACTTGCACATACTTACTAATCGGGGCCTGAGAAATAGAGAAGATTCAAGTCCTTCTATATTCAGATAGATTGTATATCACGTTGACTAGATAGAACTATAGAGTATAAAAGAATTAGTTATAAACCCAACCTGCTTATATTATCTAGGGTAAGCTCATCATTGAACAGCTTGGCAAAGCCTAAAATTTCCTCATTCGTGACTCCTGCACCTCTTCTAACCTGCATGAAGTTTCATATTCAGACAAGCAGAATGCTATTGATCTTCGTTGGCACTTTCTTTTTCCATATTTTTAGCCTCTGGATGCATGTAGGGGATAGCGATGGTTGTATATCAAGAGTGCGTCACCTTGATCAGAAATTCATCAAGATCTTCAGCTGTTTTCTTTAGTTCTCCACTCCGAGAGTTTTGGACTTCTTTAGCCATCTCCTTGACGGTGTCTTGAAGAAATTTTGCATATTCTATCCTCGCAATCAACCTTCTCTTTAATGCTTCCTATAAATGAAGCATTCCAAGCAAGTAAATTGATGATCTAAAGGAGGATAAACTCTTTACCTTAAGTAAATGCAAAAGTAACAGCCTGAGATTGGTAAAGCCACTGCAATTTGTTTGAGTTAGCACAAAAATTATTTAACCAGTACAAATAGGAAACCTATATTGAGATATCAAGGCCTAGAATTACATACCAATATGAATATACGACATCACACGAGTAAGAAAATTACAGACTACTCAGACAATAACATAGATTTTACTTTACACTCAGAAAGAAAATATTTGACCTGTTCTTTCATTTTGTCTTGAAAAGTAGATGGCAACATGTTTGGAAACAGCTTTAAGAATACAGGCAGTAAAAATTCCATGAAGGGGACAATGACGAAAACAGCAAATGGAACCAGCCTGAATATATCAGCTGTAGTTCGTGTGAGCTGTTGCCTCTCTCTTCTAGAAAGACTCTTTCCACTAGCTAGCTTTATCAACAGTCTTGAACTGATCCTCGTATCAGCCCAGAGGAGCTTAGAACCTAGCCAATAATGCTGCAGAGTAGATATAAACTCATGTCTCCAGTGAGCAAGCTTTTTGGCCCAATCTACCCTGAATAAAGACCACAAAAAAGGGAAAAAGGAAACATGCACTAAGCACTATCAGAGAAACTTCTTGTTTAACCAAAAATAAATCAACGGATTCTAACAAATCCTAACCTACTCATCGAGGCCACCACCCTCAAAGCAGGACCAATGCCCAAAAGTGTCGCCCATACTCTCTGTATAATAGATTTAGCAACCTTCTGAGATTCTTGCAGCCGTTTTGCTTTTGCTTTGGCCTTTGCAGTACTTAGTCCTACAACAGCTTGATCACATTCCTCAGGAGATGCTTCACTTTTCTTTTTGGCAATCAACTCTTCTTCATCATCACTTTCCAAATTAGGTTGCTTTGCTGTTGCTGTAGAAGCACAACGTACAGAATATGGCGACAACCTCACACCAGCTGAAGAAATAATATCGACTCTTCTATTTACATAGCCAAATACTGTAGCGTTAAAACATTTTGGCTGGAGGAATCCTAAACCCGAAAATCTCGAAATTCCATCGTTTATTGCAGAAACATCGTCACTATCCTTTCTTTGATCTGAACCTTGACAGATAGAATTCACAGTTGAGCTAAAACCGCGGGAATCCAAATAATGAGCAGATTGCCCATTCCCCGCCTGAAGAGTTTTAATAGACCGAGCAGAGACATTCAAATAGTTAGAAAGAAGCCTCCTTCTCCGTAGAATTGCTCTAGAAGCCATTACTTGCCTCTTCACTGAAAGACAAAAATCATGTTCAGTGAGTGGCATACAAGTTACTCAAAAAAAAACTCAATATTACACTTCATTATTTCTTCACATCCGTCTACACTAGGCTAGACGGAGTTACTCAATATTTGTGTTGGTGGAAGGACTAGGTAGCTGGTAGATTAGTCGAAATGCGTGCAAATTGGCACTGATATCACTATTACACACACATACATTATATATGTGTATGTTTGTGTGTGTAAAAATACACCAGCATTAAAACGTCATACTGTATTAGTTGACTATTATAAGACAATGTTTTCTCCTTTTATTTCATCTTAATATATACAATGCAAATTTGTGCTAACATTTAGAAAGGAAAAAAAAAGATTGCGAAACTTAAGTAAAGCTAAAATTAAATTATATGGGACACAAGCATCAAAAAACCAAATATACTCAATTAATCTCCTATTATAAGACAATGATTTCTCCTTTCATTTCTTCTTAACATATACTATGCAAATTTCTGCTGAAATTAAAATTACATAGAACACCAGTAGTAAAAACTGCAAACACGCTAAATTGATCGCTTATTAGAAGATTATTATTTTTTCTTAACATCGCAAATTTCTGCTAATATTTAACAAAACATAAAAACTTGCAAAAAAAAGAAAATCTATAAAGCAACTGTTTTTCACAAATTAATACTACAAAATGAGACGACGATTCGCGAAATTTTAAATAGAAAAATAAAAGAGGAAGCATAAAATTGAAGAATTGTCCTCAGCTGAAAACATTCAAACTAGTGATGAAATAGCTTTGATACTTACAAATTTCGCCTCGGTGATGCGCAGAGAAAATAGTTTTGCTGAGAAATTCACACTGTCAACGTGTATATATATGTACGAAGATTTAAAAATGATTATTGGATTTTATTAAATGTATCTAGAGAGAGAAAAAATGGTGGAGAGAGAAAGCCAGATTGTTGAAGCTTAGGGTCAGAATTTATACATGAAGGTCTCAGGACAAAGGAGCAGCTGAGATTTTGGGGGAAAATGGAGGGTTTTAGCAATCAGGTGTCGTGCAGGTACAAATTATTCGGTGTACAGCAACATTGTGGACCCGTAGTTTTTCTTTTTCTTTTTTCATCTTCTCCAGTCATATTTTAACACGTTTTCTGGATATAACTTATTCTTCAAGTTTTTTTTTTTTTTTTTTTTTTGTTT